CCCCCCCCCCCTTGTGTGCGCCACTGGTCGTATTAATAATTTTTTTCGGACCTAATTATCAATGATTAGATAAAATAAGAGATATTATAATTATGAGTGGAACTATATTTTTCTCTACGCATCTATCACTTTGTTACAATCCGTAATAGTTATCACACTCTATAATTGTTATACAATTTAATCTTTGTGTTGACTTTATTTCTTACAGATTTTGTGTCTTGCAAACGAAGAAAACGATCACCATATAATGCAAATCGACTCATTTTTCTAACCTAAACCTCAGCAAACTATTCAAAATTAAATCAAAAATTGAAAAGATAGTGAAATGTGTGTATCAAAAAAATGTTTATTATAGTCTTAAAAAGTAACTTTTATTGTTTGCTTTAAAATGTGTGTGTATTAACTTAAAATTTAATATAAAATCTCTCTCATTGGGGTAATATTAAAAGAATGAACACAATTTGTGTGAAACAAGGAAAAGGAAAGCAAAGTTTTGTATGAAATGTAAACTTAAAACATACACGCGTCTTAATGTTTGAGGATATATTCCTCGATAAACTCTCTGGTTTCTGTTTTTTCAATTCCTACTATTAGTTCACACTCTCACTATATATATATATATATATTGTTAAAATTTTCAATCGTTAATAAAATACTTTCTATTCATCCACTCAAGTTCAAATACATTTTTTCAAACTTGTAGTGGATGACACTTGATGTTAATACAGTTTTTTCAAATACTAATTCATTCATTAAATTAAAAAAGGAATAAATAGAAACACAAACAAATATAATAGTCCAACAGCATATACAGAAAGGAAAATTGTTCGTTGTGTTCCTGTAGCGTAATGGATAGCGCGTTGGACTTCTAATCCAAAGGTTGTGAGTTCGAATCCCATCTGAAATGGCCTAATTTCTGAGAATGTGATTTCTTTTTTACTATACTATTTTACTAGAATAATTAAATTTAATGTATGAATAAATAGTAACAAAAAAAAATAGTCCAACTCTATATACAGAAAAGAAAATGGAAAATTGCAAGGCAAATCGCGTTATATTTTGTCACTTAATATTATGATTCTGTCATATGTATATACATATTTATATTAATTGTAACTATTTAATAAAAAGTAAGAAAATAAAATATTTCTTTGTTGACCTAAACAAGAATTGACTTAATTTTTTTTATATTATTTGCTTATGTATTTTTTTAAACTTAACTGGCCCTTTGTAATTAAAATGCGGGAAACTAATACTAGAACAATTTATATGAATGCCAAATAGAGTATATAGAAATATTCTAGACTCTTTTTTTTTTTGGAGCAAACAAAACCTAATGCATATATTAACGTAATCTCTATAATTTGAACTAACAATGCTATTAAGACAACTTAGAATATAGAATTGTGCAATTAATCTGTAGTCCCAAGACTGCTACACCTTCAACTCGGGCACAATAAATGATCAGGTTCAAATATTCAAGAAAATAATTTATAATTTTCTTTGTATTTTCTGGGCCACATTTTTTTCTCTTTGTGTGTAAATGGAGGTCTTATCATTGTTTTCTAAATAATTTGACAAGATGTCAAACGAAATCGAACGACAGCATAAAATGTGCAATATGATAAAACCAAATGTAATTTTCGAGACCTTGTATATGAGGTCGAAGCAAGTGTGTTCTCGTTTGGTGGCAAGTTATTTGGGAAAGTATACAAGATGCTGTAGAAAAAAAAGAAGCGAATTTAACCCTGAAGGGGTAGAACTACGGCAGAGGGAATGGCCGACCTTGGCCAACTATTTCTTGAGAAGTCGAAGAGGGCCTCTCCAGGGGAGGGAGGAAAAGCAATTTCATTCCTTGAAGGTTTCGTTATCGGTATGATTGGATGTATTGCATTCTCGTTTGTGTATTTCTCACCATTTATATCTGTATGAGTAATACGTGTAGGAGAAGGGAAGGTTATTAGTAAATAACTGCTTTCGCTTTCATTCCCTGATGAAAATTCCATCATAATAGAAATTGTACGTTAGAAAACAGTTTTGAGATATTTATTTTAAAATGAGTTGTTATTGCGAGTGAATAATCTATAGGCATGCATGTTTTTATTACTTTTTATTTATATTTTTGGTATTATCATACTTATGTTTGTTTGATTTTCAAAACTTACTTTTATTTCTGAATGAGGTTTCTTCTGTATTTTGGTATTTGTATGATAAAAATAATTATTTTTTTTCATCAAATCATTCTTTTGTAACTCATGATTCGCAATATGTAAAATAGCCTAGAAAGCTGTTTAAGACATACTTATTTATTTTCTTGTAATGAAACGCGCTGTACTTTATGAACATAATTATTCATTAGATGTATGAAGTATACTAAAAAATAGTATTCGACAACAACCAAGCTGGAACTTTCGACCGAAGTCTTTCATTTGTGTGGTGTTAATGTAATTTTTTACTGTATTTGTAATTGTTTGTTCCATGTTCAACATTACTCTTAAAAAATGAAATATCATTGATAATTATGTTAGCATTGTAGTTTTAATGAAATGCTCTATGTGCGAACAACTTTAGAGGCATCTCAAATTAAATTAGGTTTTTAATTATTGTATATTATTTTCTATATATAACTTGTCTTCTTAATTTGTTAATGGATATGCAAGTTCAGTAAATTTTTTCATAGGACTTTAATGTACATGAGTTATTTCCTCATTCACTATCTAGTAAAACTTTCTCGTATAAATCGGAAAGTGTAATGAATTCCATATATTTTTTTTTTATCTAATTCTGAGTTTCAATAATACAAAACAATGACAATAAATCATATTTCGGTGTGATAAATGTATTAAAGATTGCATTTGGTGACTTTGTATTTAAAAGTAAGCTTTAAATTTAATTGTTTCGAGTGGAGAAATTGAATCAAGGAATGAAGACTAAAATATTACTTTAAGCTTAATTTGTAGTTTTCATAATGTGGCAAGATTCCGAAGATCATTTTGAGATATAATTCGAAAAATGCAGCTGAATAATCAGTAGATAAATTCGAATATTATCCAGTTGAATAACCAATTCATAAGAATGGAATATTTCAGCTGAATAACTATTATTTTTTTATAAATATGAATAAACAGATAAATGTGAGCCTTTCCTGGCTTTTTTCAGATGAATTTAGAAATGGGGATTATTTTGCACTTTTAGTAAAAATATACACACATCAGCTAGAAAATACATCAATCATTCATATTGCAAATTTTAATTTAAAATTAAAATTTAATTATGTGTATATATTATCCTAATTTTATATTGTGAATAACTGACATAAATTCGATTTATTTTTTCTTTTGTGGAAAGAAAATATTTCTATTGAATTTTGATCCGTTCCTAATAATACTAAACTTTTTTTTTTTTTAAATTATACTTTGAGTTTTTGTACAGTTTTATGGAGACTGAATCCATCCATCCAATAAGTCTCATAATATATAGCTAAAAATTCAGTTTCAGAAGTATTTAAAAAAAAATTTTTTTTTATAAAGATGTTTTGTAAATGATATACATACTATCAAAAGATTTTACAGGATTCTTAATAATTAAACACTTTGCATTCAAGGTTGATGATAAATTCAGAATAAGAAAACCAACTTGAGTCATATTTTTAGGTGTGAGAAAAAATATACATCATCAAGCTATTCCACGGCCTCTTTGCTTTGGTCTAGGTCATGGAAACGTAACTTGTTTTAGTAAGTCGTTTTGGTACTTCTTTTAGTTAAAAATTACGTAAAGCATAATTCTATTTATCTAATTGTTACCATTTATGTAGATCATGGATATAAATACAGTGCATATAGTAGCAGTAGCCGAGTGGGCATGGCAAGAAGCTTGCATCTGGTGTTGTTTCTGTCAAGTCGTAGGTAGTCAGCCATTGGTGCCGCTGAAGACCTGCTGTGTCAAGAGCTGCTGTACGTTAAATCTAACAAGACTCAAAATCATCAAGAAGCATGGTGGGAAAGTTTGAAGAATGGATACCAGCTCAGGTATTGACCTCGTGACTTGATCTTACTTCAGAATTACGAAGTCCACATCACCAAACGTCCTCTTTCTGCCTCAGACTGCTATGTTCATAACCATTCAGGTATCACATTCACACATCTATATATAAAGGAGAACTATTACACACGTTTTGTGTAACCTAATTAGTTTGTGATAATATATATCAATTTTATATTTTTCACATAGTGAAAGGGTTTAAATTGGAGCTCACTCGAGGGAAAGCTAACCATATATTTTACATTATGTAAGAAAGGTAAAGAAATCAAGTCTATTGATGAATTATTTAAATTTTTCAACAAAAAAAAAAGCCTGAGGTTTTTAGTCTTGCTGAGAAAAAATAATTTAAATAATTTAAGTTCTATTTATAATATTGTGTGGAAGGGTATTATTTTGTGTTAAAGAATTTTTTATTTTTAACACTAGAACGTCCGTCGGTGTCGATTGGACACCGAAGTCTATTCAGCTTGTTCTCCTTTCCGCAGTTTTACAGGGGATTTGAAAATTTTTAGTAACCTTTAATCATTTTCCATGGTGATGACACAGAAAAACTTTGTGGTTCTAGGTTAATTAGGAGAGATTTTACAACTAAATATACCTAGAACGTCCACTGGTGTCTTTTCGATATCAAGGGAATTTATCATTAGAAATAGCTGTCGTTCAGCAAAAGATAGTTCATTAAGCACACTGCTGACCACACAAAATGCAACATCAAGAAAGACTAGAGATATCACAACGAAATTTATTTGTCAGGTAACATGTTTTACCAAGATCAAACGATTAAAATTACAACCTCTTGTGACGTGTGGGTGATGACAAAATCAATAGATAGTGTAGCCACCATTGTTGTGCTATAACCGCTACCACACTCCCCGGAATAGAATCAAAGAGGTTTTGGATGTATCTTTAGGGTACAACAGTTTATGCGGCTTCCACATATTGCCAAAGTTGATCCGGTGTAGCAGCGGGTGGTGTATCCCAAGTCAGTCGTTGTGCAAGCATTGACGACACGTTTTCGCTTGGTGATAGATCGAGAGAACAAGCAGGCCATGGAAACAATTTAATCTGAAGGGTAAAGAAGAACTATTGAACACGTGTGGTCGCGCATTATCCTGTAGGAATATGGCTGCGCTAAATGTATGGGTGGACCACGGGCCCCAACACCTCAGAGATGTAGCGCTGGCTGTTCTGTGTACCGGCAATGCGTACTAGACGGGTGCGGCAGTGAAATCTAATACTACGGCAAACCATGATACCGGGTTCTCTACCAGTGTGGTGATGCAAAATGCACCAATTCAGCAGCTTCTCACCACGGTGTCTCCAAACTCGAATCCGACCATCGTAGTTTTGCAGGCAGAAGTGGGATTCATCAGTAAATACAATGTCGTTCCCTTCCGTTGTCCATGCCCGCCGTTCATCGCACCATTGGCGACACAAACGCCTGTGGTTTCCAGTCAAGGGTAAATGAAGCAATGGACGTCTTGCAGACATTCTACTCAGCTGCAAACGGCGTCGAATGGTACGAGAGGACACCGACTGATGCGTAACAGACTGAATCTGTTGTGCCATAATTCGTGATGTGGCTGCGTGATCCATCATGTTCATGCGCACAATCCACCTGTCATCAGGGGCAGTGGTGCAACGAGATGGGTGCGATCGGTTCCGTCGTTTCCTCCTTCATCCATCGATGGTAGATCCGCATCACAGTTACTCGGTCGAATTCAGAAACTTCTTAAAAAGACTCTCTATGTCTTCCACGAAGCATAGATAAAAAGCTCACGCAAAAAAATAAATAAATAAATAAATAAAAAAATTTGCAGTACTTTAAATCACCAATCTGTTATCTCTATATATAGCACTCACGGG